GAGAGAGTGAGAGAGAGAGAGAGAGGGACAGGGAGAGAGAGGAGAGAAAAAGAGAGAGACAGAGAGAGAGATGGAGAGACAGAAAGAGAGAGAGACAGAGAAGGATGGGAGAGAGTAAGGAAAGGAGGGAGATAGGCAGGAAGGAGAAGGAAAGAATGAGAGACTCTGTAAGGAAGGTCAGGGAAAGATCAGAAAAGGAGAGGAGGTAAAGAAGGGAGACCTAAGTCTCACTGAGATAGTCAAGGTTTCCCACCCCATTCACTCCGAGTTCCTCCCAATATCCGTGAGGGAGTTTAGAGCTAAGTGTGAAGGCGCCAGAATGAGATTCTGGGGTGTGAGGAGAGGCAGAACTAGTATCTGTGTCCAGCCTGGAGGTGGGGTAGATCTGGCTGGACTTTGTCTTGTTGGTCCTGAGAGTGGTGGGTGGAAGAGGTTGGGAGCCTCAGAGGACTGAACTTCTGACACTCTGTGCTCCTAGAGGTGCCCCAAGGTCTATGGAATCCCCCAAATGTAGTACCCCCATTTGCCCCTCTCAATCCTCATTCCTTTTACTGTGCCTCCTTACAGAAATCTTGAGGAGAGGGAGGTGAGCCTGGGGTTTGGAGGACAGAGGGCAATAAGGTGACCCAGAGAGGGGAAATCTGTGTGTAAATAGACCCTGGAACCCCTCCTTCTATTCCCCCATCCTCCTACTCTGGGCAGCTGAGTGGACTGGGCTGCAAATAGTCAGGGGAATGAATGAGTCAGTGAGGCTGGAAATAACCCCTCCCCCGCCTCCCCAGACAATGGGGGAGGGAGAGGGACAGTGCCCCCAGCTGCCTGGGACCTAGAGGCTAGAAGTCAGAGAAACTTGTGCCCAGCTCCCTGTGCCAACGGACTCTGGAGTCAGGGAGGGGGTGGACCATTGGGCTAGGAGGAAGCTGGGTAGAGCAGTGAGCCCAGGCTTATAACTATGATTTCTGCTACTACTTTTTTTTTTTAAATAAAGGATCCTTTCCCTTTCTCCACCCCTACCCCCCAACTCACCAAGCCAATTATCAATCAAGTATTTATCCAACTTCCAGAGGTGGGAGATCACTTTTCATGGGCCACCAAGCCAGACCACAGGGCCCTGCCCAGGAGAGCCAATGCCAAGATTGAAGTCTGAGCCCCCTGGCACCTGTCCTGTAGACGTGGAGTGAGTCATAGTCCAGCACTTCCCCCACCCCCCACCTTCAGCCATGAGACTCTTTCTGTACCACAATCTTTCGCATTCGCCATTCTGCAGATAGGAAGGCTGAAACACACTCTCCCCAACAAAGGACCAGATAACCCAAGGTCTTGGGGGTCCTATGAAAGTCAGTCAACTTGACTTTCCAACCCTAGGGGCAAGAGGGTCATGGGTTTTATTAGTGGCTCCTATAGTATCTATCTTAGTGTATAAACACTGGTACATCAAGGACCTGTGATTTCATATGGTGTGGGAATTCTCCTGCTTAGGGCTGTCTTAGGTCCAGAGGAGTTAAACTGACTCACTCTAGGTCACATAGCTGGTAAGAGTCACAGACTATTTGAGCTCAGGTCTTCAGGTTTCCAAATTCAGTGGAGTTCATCAGTCATTTTCTCTTTCCTCTTTCCTTTTCAGTTTAAAACTGTTACAATTAGATTTTTTGATTGGGGATGGGGGAGTAGGGGGTTGGGGGGGGTGGGGGGAAACAAAACAAACAACCCAACAACAACCCAATCTAATTGTTTTGATTAGAATTGCAAGACTCTAGGCAAATACATTCTTACTACAACCCTGGTTAGGCAGACTCCATCCCTGGTGAGGATCCTGTCCTTCCCATATTTCAAGCCCTTGTCCAAATATCTGAATCTCCTCCTCATACAACTTCCTCTTAACTATTCACTTCTCAAATCTGCCTTTCTCTTTGAAATTTCTTGTCTTCAACAAGCAGCAGAAATTAAAATAGCACCTTTGTCTTTAAGGTTTTCAGTGTCTTGCCCAAAATTTATTAATTTTTATCAATACTGAGACTTCTGTTGTGACCGTCTCCACCCACTTTAAACTATTTCTCTTCCCATGGACAGGAATGGGACTGAGATAAGAGAGGCTTTAGATTGATGTGGACTGGGAGTAGATAGAGTTCTAAGTATTAAAGTTACCAGAAGAAAAAGAGGTGAATTGGTAAGGGGGAAGATAATTAGGGAAAGACAATATTTGTTGTTCTTTAGTCCTTTCAGTCATGTCTGACTCTTCATGACCCCATTTGAAGGGTTTTCTCAGCAAAGACACTAGAATGGTCTGCCATATCCTTCTCCAGCTCATTTTACAGATGAGGAAACTGAGGGAAACAGAGGGAAATGACTTGCCCAGAGTCACACAGCTAGTGTCTGAGGCTGGATTTGAACTCAGGTCTTCCTGACTCCAGGCCCAGCACTCTAGACATTATGGCACCACTTAGCTGCCCTTAAGAAGGTATCTCTGACTCCAGTTTACCAAATCAACCTTATCTCACATTATTCCCTTTTATATGCTCCATCTGTCGCACTCTACATATTTTTTCCCATCTGGAATCTTAATGCCTTTTCTCATACTATCCTCCATTCCCCAACATGGAAGGAGTTCCTGTCTGGGACCCTTACCTCGGACAGCTGCTAGAGTTCTTCCCTCCCTTCAAGCCCTCTGTCAGTAGCCATCACTTTCATGAAGCCTTCTCTGTCCACCCCTCACACTCTTATTCAGTGTGTGACCATGGACAATTCACTCACCTCTTGGAACATCAATTTTCTCCTCTGTAAAATGGGTAGCAAAGTGCTTGCCCTTTCCTACCTCGATGCTGTTATAAGGAAAGTGCTTAGCAAACCTATAAGACTTTAAGATTCTGCAATTTCCTCTGCTCAGGTACTCAATGCTGAAGTAGATCTTGACTGTAATGGCCTCAGAGAGTGGCTGTGGCCCCAAAGATCATTACCCTGCAGCCAGCCTAGTGGTATACTCAAAACAGCCAGGCTGGTCCTCAAGTAGCTACCCAGCCTGTGAATAGAGCCAAAGACTAGCAATCAGGAAGACTGAGTTCAAATTCAGCCTTGGGCACTGACTAGCTAGGTGATTCTGGACAAGTCACTTTAGCTCCTGTTGGCCTCAGGTATTTTCATCTGTAAAATGGGGATAATAATAGCATCTACCTCCTGTTCTGAGGATCAAATGAAATAACATTTGTAAAGTGCTTTGCAAACCTCGAAGTGCTATAGAAATTCAAAATCTTAGACACGTGCCATTGCTAGAAGGAAGTTCACTCCCTTGGCATGGCTTTTGAGAACACAGAGTCACTTCCATGCCACAAGTAGGCATCAGAAGAAGACATCAAAGGAGGCAAACTTTAAAGTACTCTAGAAAAGTAGCGGGTGTGTGTGGGGGGGGCGGGGTTGTCTGTTTTTTAAGCTGAAAGAATGACTACTTATCTACATATGACTGGTATGAATGGTGTAGAAACAAACTCTATATTCACAGTCCTCTAGATGAGAGAGAAGAGAAAGCCTGGAGGTGCTCTAACTGGAGAGGCCCCCAAACAAAGGGGAAGGTGCTCCTCCCTGGGCCCCAAGGGCTTCCCCTTCCCCTCAAATCACCTTGTGTTTATTCTATCCGTATTTTAGACAAATGTATGAAAGGCAATGCAATGTAATGGGCAGAGAATTAGTTTTGCAGTCTCACTTTTGACCTATAGTAGCCATGTGATTCCTTGACCTCTTAGGCCTAGGCAACTCTGAGACTAAGTGACAGAGAAGTCTGCCTTGGTAGAAGAACTCTCCTGATCCAGAAGTTCCTTATACCAATGAAATGACAGGTTTGTATAAATTATATATATAAAGAGTTCTATGTCTATATGTTGTCTCCCTTGATAGAATGTAAGTACCTTGAGGGCAAGGGTTGCTTCATTTTTGTCTTTGCTTAGTGCCTGACATATAGGAGGCACTTTAAGATTTCTTCATTGATTGATTAATTGATTTAGGAAGAAAGCTGGATATTTTTGAGCAGGGCACACCACACTGGGAACCAATGGGCAAACCTCAGTTTGGGGAAAGCAGGAACTCAGGTAGCACATAGTAGGTGCTTTATAAATGCTTATTGACCGACCATGAACAGGAGGGAGCCTCCAGGCCCTGGGTATTGACATGATCCAGAGGAAAAAAAACCATGGTTGAGGCCAACAGCCTGCACAGTGGGTAGAGAAACAATAGAAGAAAAATTGTTCACCAAGGACCCCTCTGACCCTAAGTCATGAAACATCAGAAGAGGCAACATGGAGGCAGTAAATCCAGAGCTCTACCTGGAGTTGAGAACACCTGGCTTCAAAGCCGGCCTCCAACATTGGCCTTGGGTGGGTTGTAGAATGTGTTGTAGGATCTATGGATCCAGAACTGGACAGGGCCTTAAAGATCACTTCATCCAGGCCCCTTATTCTGCAGTAGAGGAAGCTAAGTCCCCGAAAAGTTAAGTGACTTGTCCAAGGTCACACAGGTAGTAAGTGCCAGAGGCAGAATTTGCACTGAAGTCCTCAGATTCCAAATCCAGCACCCTTTCTTCTGTATTACGCTAAACAACCTCTCTGAGTCTTGGTTTCCTCATCTGTAAAGTGGGGATAAAGCACCAGATCTGGGATCAGATAGACCCGAGTTCAAATCCAGCCTCAGACACTTACTAGCTATGTGACCCCCTGCGAGTCACTTCACCTGTTTGCTTCAGTTTTCTTACCTATAAAACAGGGATAATAAGAATACCTCCCTCCCAGGGTTGTTGTGAGGATCAAATGAGATAATAATAGTAAAATGCTTAGCACAGTGCCAGGCACATAGTAGGCACTGTATAAATAAACATTTATTCCCTTTTCTGTCCCCCATAGTACCTCCCTCACATTCTAAGTAAAGCTGGTTTTGATCCTTAGAGTACTGTGCAAATGTTAATTTTGATTGTTATTATTTCTCCAGGGGCTGAGACTGAGACCATTAGGCAGCAGACAGCAGGAGTCATAAATAATTTATCAGGAACCAACCCAGGTTAGAAAAATCCCTATATACAGATAGGACACTGATGGGCAGTTCCCCCTGCCCCAGGGCACAGGTGGTGGCTAGGGTAGGAGCCCCATAGGACGACACTGGGCCTGGAAGACAGAGAGAGCCAGGGAGCCAGAACTTAGCTTGGGATGGGAGAGGGAGAAGGTTGTACGATGACCTTGGAGCCTGGTACAGAGTGGAGGGGATTGGCCTTGGGGTCAGGAGGCCTAAGTCTGAGTTCTAGCTTGGGCACTTACTGACCATGGAGCAATCCTAACACTAAACCTCAGTTTCCTTTTCTGAAAAATGGAGGCAGGATTACTTGCCTGGTCTACCTCCTAGGGCTTTTGTGAGGAAAGCGCTTTGTAAAATGATACGTTCTTAGGATTATTCTTATTTGTCCACAGAAAGTGGACTACCTGCCATCCCCGTGGTCTCCCCTCGCCTCCTGCCACAGGCTCCTCAGGTGGTAAAGCCGGAAGGAAACTGCATTGTCTAGCTGGGTTTATAGACACTGGCCAGGGAGAAGTCCAGGGGAGCTGGAGACCTACCAAGGAGAGGACACAGTAAGTGGGGCCCCTACCCTGAGGTCTCCCCACATCCCTCTCTCCTTTCCTCTGGCCAGGATGAGGTCCAGCCCCACAGAGGTTCAGACCAATGCTGCTGGGGGCTGGGATACAGGGAGCAGAGGGAAGGCTTTGGGGATGGAGGGAGGCACAGCTGGTGTACCATGGCAAGCCCAAGTCAGGTTGTAGAACTGGGACCCGCTCTAAAGCAGCATAGGCCAGAGAATGGGAAGAGACCTTAGAGCTATCGTCTGATCCACTCAGTTTACAACTGAGGAAACTGAGGCTTAGAGGGGTTAGGAGGCTTGGTCAAGATCACACAAGTGACCAAGAGCAGGTATAGGATATGAGCTAAGGTCCTCTGACTTCAGGTCCAATGTTCTTTCATTGACCTAGGATGTTTTAAGGACACAGGATCACTGGGGTTGGGAGAAGGGAGTTGGGAGAAGCCATGACATAGCAGGTACTTAATAATTGCTTGTTGATCTATTGCTGCAACTACTGGCCCCTTCCCTTTCTTAGCACCGTGTTGGCGCTGGGACAAGGAAAACCCACTAAGGCATTGTCAGGGGACTGACTGGGAGAAGAGAGCCTGCTTAGGCCAAGGCTCGGACCTTCCCAAGAGATCCCCCACCTCCCTTGGATGTATCTCTAACCATATTTGACTTCCAGTCCCTAGAAAAAGGGAAAGAGTCTTAGTTTACACACTGGTACTGAGGGACCCCTCACTCCTACTTTGGTTCCCCCAGGTACCTGGGACCCAGGAGGGACTGAAGGATGCTCTAAGAATATTTTCTATTAGTCTCAATGCTGTGCCAGCTCCCAGAAACCAAGGCCCTTCTCCAAAGCTCCCTCTTCCCTCCAAGTTTCTTACTCCAGAGGTTGAGAACACCCCCTTGAGAGAGGTTCTGCTCTAAGCTGTCCAGATCTAGCACCCAGAGCCAACTAAGCATGAGTCCCAATGTATTGATCTAGAACTTACATGGGGTACAGGGGTAGGCCTGCCCTAGGGGTGGTAAAGAGGATCACAGTTTCCACCCCAATCTAAATCAAGTGCCCTGGGCTTCTGGAGTGACCCACCAGGGGCCACAGAAGGGGAGCTGGAAACAGGGTTGGGGAGTGGAGTTGAGAGGCTTGGAACTGAGATCCCAGGACCAAGATCTAAGACTTGGAACCTGGAGCTCCATTCAAGCCCCAGCCAAGAGTGGGGGATGGGGAGGAGAGAATGGAAGCTTTTCTATCGGGCCTGTTAGCGGGGGGAAACAGAGGAGGACACTCCCCTTGGGCAGGCCAAGCAGGCTCCACACTGCGGCCCGCTCAGATTTTGATCTCAGTTCGGAAGGTCTGCTGCACGTGCTCCGGGTGGGGGTGGCGTCGGGCACGGATGGTGAGGCTCCCGTCATCGCCTAGGGCTGAGGTCACGGAGGTGGGGTCCACATCTTCTGGCAGCTGGCATTTGTGGGTGAATGTATTCATGACAGTGCCATCTGGGGCCAGCTGGGGGTAGAGGAGGCAAGGGGTCAATACAAGTCACTCTGGCCTTGCTGTGACCTTCCCAAAGGAAACAAGGACCTCATAATCTTCCCTTTTTTCCCTAAACCCTGTGAAACATAGATTAGTGAAACCTGTACTGGGACAGCGAGGAGGGTGTGGCCAGGGTAGGGTGGCCAGAAGTTAAGTGCACCTGACTATGGCTAGCACCTAAGAGCTCGCACAATGTGTCCAGGTATTTGTTGGTTAATCGAGTGCGATTAAAATTCTCTCAGGCCCGGGATGGGGTGGGGAGGGGTACAGGGGGGTCTCAGCAAATGGGATGAAGGTGACGTGAGCAGGGTGAGAAGCTCTATGTGGTCATGAGGGAGTGAAGAGGTTGGGGCCAGAATAAGGGGGATGGAGATCACTTAGGAAGGTAGGACCTTAATAGAGGGGAATAGGAGGAAAATGGGCCCTAGTGAAAGGGAGAGGGGCTCATGGAGAGGGGAGTGGAAATTAGTTAAGGAGAGGGGGCTCAACAAAGAGGATGGGGCTCAATGAGGAGATGGAATATGTGATAGGAGGGGGGTCAGTGAGGGGGACTAAATTAGGGGATTAATGAAGGGCTGGTGACTCATCTAAGAAAAAGGAGAGGATCTCAGGGAGGGGGATGCAGGTTCTGTGCTAGGGATGGGGATGGGTTATAGTGTTCTCAGGAATCCACTCTAGGAATCCATAGGAAGAGTCTGGGTAGGAATGAAGTGTCTTCCCTGGAATACCCTTCCCTTCCCTCCCTTAGGTACCTGGCTTAAACAAGTGACCACCCACATAAAGCCAGGTCAATGCTCAGGCCTAGGTGGCTCCTCCCAGTGGCCTCTGGCCAGGACATAGCGTTCTGATGGTGGCAAGAGGGAGCATGAGTCATGTCCAGTCATTGGGCATCAGGACTGGCACATGCCTGGGTTGTCTGGGGCTGGCACCAGGGTCATCTGCAGGGACAACTGTGGGTGGTAGCTGTGCTGGTTTCCCCTTCCTGAGCCCTGGAAATAAGACCTGGGCCAGTCCCCCAGAGTCCATCTTTCAGAGCTGGCTGCATTCCTGGACTATTGCTAGTGCCCACCCATGGCTCACCTTGAATCAACAGGGCTTCTACAAATAGGGAAACTGAGGCACAGGATGAGGAGGTAGCTTGTGTAAGAGCTATAGCTGCGGATTTGCTACTACTTGGCTGTGAAACCCCTGGTCTCACTCAGAAGGCTTGGACTTCAGGACAGGCCCTTATGTTTGTTAGCTGGATGACTTTGGGCAAATCACTTCCCCTCTCAAAGGCTCAGTTTCCTCGTCTGTAAAATAGTTATGATAATACTTGCACCACCTATCTCACATAGCCCTTACCTTTCTTTACAAGGAAAGAACTTTGCTAACTTTAAAGAATTATGCAAAGATGAGTTATCACTATTTTAAATATTTGAACATCCAATAAGGTCTGAATAAATGCTTGTTTGTTCATTGATAGGCTTCGGACAGATTTGTCTTGTTCTTAGGTGACCAGGGAAGAGTTGTTGGCCTCCTTCTGGTCCCTCCAATGAAAGGTCACACAGAGTAGGGCCCCCAATATGATGTTCCTTCCTACTGGAGGAAAGGGCCCAGCAAGGCAAAGGAAAACCTTAGTGAGGTTCCGGGGGCCTGCATCGCCTCCAGTAGGAGTCTGCCTAATCCCCCCAAGCCTTAGAGGCTTCAAGGGCAAGTCAGGGCTGCATTGTGGGTCCACCCAAGATCCAGGGAGCTAGACTTGTAAGTCCTGAGAAAGAGGGGCTCCCACCCATTTCCTTCCTGTCTCCATTGGGATCTGGCCCCTCCTGGTCCTTCCCAAGTATATCTTCCATTCAGTCTCAGCTTTTGTCTCCAATACCCTGCCCCATTCCCTTATTTTCCATCTCTTCAACCCTTGTTACACCTCCCCTTAAAAAAAATCTGTTGACATGTTTTGTTTTGATATTAGCTTCATCTCTACCCTCTCCCCTTCCCTCACCAGACTGATATTCTCTTGTGACAAAGAATAAAAGAGGGGAGAAAATAGTAATTCAGCAGAACTAACCAAAACGTAGACCAAGTCTGACAATATATGCAGTATTACAGACCCATAATCTCCCACTTCTGCAAAGAAAGTCAGAAGGCTCATTTTCTCATCTCTTCTCCCAGACCAAGTTTAATTACAATGAATTACATTCTGCTTTGCCCAGATCACCTTCTGCCCCTGCCTCACCTAATTTCTCTCCTCTTCCACTTCTCCTGATCCCATTTAGGTTTTCCTAATCACTCCCCCTTGTCAACCTTGTCTGGGGAGCGAGTCTGGGGAGATCCCAAAGGAAGAGGGCAGACTTAGCTGGATCAGGAGGGATGGACGGGATACTCAAGCCTAATTGGGACAGAGTGCTACTCACCTTCTCAGCCCGAACCTCAATCTGGTTGTTGGATGTGGTAACAATGATGTCCTCTGGGGAGAAATCACTCACGTCCACTGCGAACTGGTAGGAATCTCCCAGGGTCTTGATATTGCCTGTACCCCCAGATCGGGCTGCCGTGGCAGGGGTTGGGGATGGGGAATAGGAGATGGAGTGATTTTCACTTCTCAATGTGAGGAGGCCGAGTCTGCCTTTCTTTTTTCTTCCCAAACACCCATTGGATGATCAGTAGAATGTTGGAACTAGAAAAGATGATCTAATGCAGCCTCTTCATTTTACAGATGAAGAAACTGAGGCATAGAGATGAAGGACTTGCCTGATTAGAACCCAGGTCCTCTCTCTGACTCCAATCTAGCACTTTTTCCATTACACCATGGCATCTGGGTTTTTTCCCATTCCAGAGTGATTACAGGAGACCGCTCCTCGGGTCCTGGGCCCCACATGTCTCAGCTGTAGCCCCTCCCCAACTCCTCCCCTCCTAGTTTTTTTTCTACCTCTAAACCCTGACACATCTCTCCATCCCCCTGCCCCACCACAGCTAGGCCACCTTCAGACTATCAGCAGTGAGTGCTCTCTGAAAACCTCCAAGCTCTCATCATTCCAAGGAGTCAATACTCTGGAATCCTGAAGACCTGGCTTTGAATCTCAGTCCTTCCATCTGTGTGACCTTGAGCAAGTCACCTAAGCTGGGTCTCATTTTCCTCATCTGTAAAATGAGGGAGTTGGTCCAGATGACTTCTGAGGTTCCTTCTAGCCCTAGATCTAAGATGCGATCTTCCTTCCTATAGCCCCAGTCTTTAGTCAGTTGAGATGCCCTCTTCACCTCAAATTCCCATTCATTTCCTTGAGTTCCCTCCAGGTCAGAACTGATCATAGGGTTAGAGATGGAAGAGGCTTTAGAGGTCATCTGATCTAACCCTTTCTTTTACAGATGACGAAACTGAGGCCCAAGAACTTAAGTGACTTGCCCAAGGCAATGAAGGAATCGAGTAACAGAACCAGAATTCAAATGAGGTCTTTGGACTTGGTTTAGCCAAAGTCCATTTACCCTTTAGGGCCACAGCTGATTCTCATAACTACACTTAGCCGTCGTATCCACATCTTTCCTTTATGGCCACTTCTTTCTCCTTTGTCCACTTGTACTCTTGTGGCCACACCTGCCCCACCCCAGCTCCCATAGCACCTCCTGCTGGCAGAGTTGGCTCTAACAGACTTTTGGAACCAATGGAGTCCCGGGTGCGTGTACACTCATATGCCTGTCTCACTCCCAGCTGTGCCAAAGAGATCAAGATCCCTTGATCTCCTATCTTCTCTCCCTTCTACCCCAACTTGCCTGGAAAGCCCAAAGGCTCAGTGTGGGGCCGCATGAAGCTGCCGAAATCCTCAGAAAACATGCTCAAAGTCTTCTCCATGGGCAGGTCCCGGGCAGGGGGGTTGTGGGAGGCTGAGGAGGAGGAAGAAGATGAGGAAGAGTGGAAACTGTGTTCCGCTCGGAAGGTAGAGGAGGTCTTATGGCTCATTCACCAGGTGGGGGAGGGCTCTGTCCCAGGAACCGCAAGGAGTCACAGCAGGGCACGCGGGCTGGGCTGAGGGAGTGCTTGGGGCCCTGGTGATTGGGGCTTTATAAGGCCCTCAGCCGCCCCCCAGGCTCTGGGCCAGCCCTCTTGTCCACTGGCTAAATATAGGTCTCTGGCAGGCAGTAGCAGGTTGGAGGAGGGGGGTTGGTGGGCTGGTGGGTGGAGACGTGGGGGTAGAAGGTTTTCCCGCTGAGATGTTGGTGCTGACATTCCAAACAAACCAAAGCAGACTGAGGCTGAGCTCATCCAGAAGCATTCCAGTCCTGCTGATAACGGGAGGAGGCTGTGAAGGGGGCAGAAGGAAGGATGGAGGAATCAAAGGGGTGTGTGTGTGTGTGTGTGTGTGTGTGTGTGTGTGTGTGTGTGTGTG